TTTTTAGATTGACTTTTTACGAACATACATAACGTTTTATTTTTATTTGGACAAATGTATTAATAAAAAAAGTTAAAAGTACAATAACGCGGTTTCTACAGGTGCGATAGTTGCAAGGCTTGCTATCCAAGAACGCTGATGGTAATCTATTCATCCGCATTTTTAGACTGTCAGCGTTGTGGCTGTTGTGCGATTGGAAACTTTAGTGCTCCACCGCCCTTACCACGATCTTTAAATACTTCCAAAATTACGTGATTTAGTGCATTTACAAGACGCTTAGCAAGTGCCTAATTGGAACAGTGGGTTTATTTTAACAAACAAAAAGTTTAATCATAAATGTTTCGTTAATTATTGGACTTATCGATACGATTAACCCCCATTTTATGTCCTCCTGGACGTGTAACTCGCCTGTACAAATCGCATTATTATACGTTTCACGGCTGTTTCTAAACATAAATATGTTCAAAATTAAAACTAAACTGCCCTAATAATATTAGTGGAAGTTTACCACATTTCACCCTTCTAGCAGAATGGTGCTTTCGTGGTCCAGAAAAGCTTTTTTTTTGTATTTTATACATGAAACAAAGCCCATAACATTACCATTTTTATCGTCATTTTCATTATTCTCGTAATCGGCATCGTGGTTTTTGTGGGTATAGTTCTGTTATCTTTTATATATAGAAATAAAACAGCTCAGACAAAAAAAAAAAGACTTTCTGTTGCAGAACACACATTGCTCAATGAAAGACGTGGTGCATAAACCTCCAGCCTACACTGTTAGCAAGTCCCGTGTATTTGGTGAATATTTGGGGTGAAAAACACGCTATTTACACAAATTACCATAAATTTACACGTTGAGTAACGGATAATTCGTTCAAAAATCATGCGAGGTTGTAAAAAACGTGTTTTCGTTCGGTCATACACGCATAACCGTGTAGCCGACCTCGAAAACACGCACCACCGCCGGCGACGACCGCAGCATTGCCGGCTACCGAAGCACCGGAACGCTTGGGGACACACCTAGAAAGGACCGTGGAGTCAAATTCCGCGGAAAGGAACATGTCTCGGAGACAGATAAGCACCAAAAGCAATTACGCCATGTCGCGAGACGGGGCGAACCCCGCGCTTACCGTGCGTGCTGGCTGCCATTGTTTGTGGTCGACAATGGCAATGCGGCTTCCCTTATGTCGCCCTTGTTTGTATTTATATTTGGGGTCTTGATAATTGTTTCTCACACACCAAAAATAAAGTTAGGCGTATAATTACTCGTTCTAAACAGTTACAATGGCTATAAAAAGCGTGCCCTTGATCTGAACACGCGACATTGCAGTTGGTTTCGTTTTGGCTTCAACCCTTCCAACTGCAAGCGAAGGTGCCGCCGCTTCCCATGCATCCTCCTCAGAATTTACGGCGCTCCGTGGTGTCCAGTGTTGCTGCATCTGTAGGTCATCTTTAAGTTAGAGCTGACAGAGAAAATTTGGCCACGGCGTAACGCCGATGTAAGCTGGAAGCTAGAACCGGTTTGCTTTCGTTGTTTTTTATTTGGTCGGAGAAAATCTGGCAACAACGCACGTTTAACATGGCGCCGGTATTCTTTTGGTTGGGCAAGAAGGTTGGAAGGTGCTCGGTTTGCGAGCACATGTAGCGAAGACGTGACCGGAGACGTGCCCCTGTGATGTTCCCGGACGACGGAAAGCATCATTCGCAATCGTCGTGTGTGCTTGGAAAGCGAAGGGTGTCACCGGGTCCACGAGTGCGCAACCACAAGCCAAGGGTCACGACAGCGCTGCGTTTACTTCGGCGATCTCGTTCTGTTTGGTGCAACGCCGCAACGCGGCGATGCGACAAAGAGCTGAAGTGTCCGTGGTGTGTGGTGCGGTGCTTGGAGGTAGAAAGCCACACTAACACGGAGCGCGAATTGGTTGCTGTGGGTTTAGTCCGTCGTAATCAGCTGATTCGGTCCAGCTGGTCCGGGAGGACGCAGCGAGCGTTTTTAAAAGTAAATCTTCCCTCGTTCTGTTTCAAAATGTGGAAGTATACCGACGCATACCGTGAGTAAAAAGCTGTGGGCGTTTTCAACAAAATTACGTCGTTTAAATTGAACAATGGACTCCGGATTGTTGTCCTAGATCTGCCGTTTTTATGCTTCGTGTTGGACTGCGTTTGCACAGCGACGCACACAGCTCGAGTAGATGACTCGGTCCTGCAAACGACCGGTAACAGAATTTCATGGAAACTTAAGTCACCACTGATATTTTCCTTTCAATCTTGTGCGAGTTTGTTGCGCTCATCATGTGGTGTGAATAAATTGGGGCAAGATTTCCTACCTGCCCACAGATGCATGACCTGAGACCATTTTTTGCGTGGTGAACATAGTGCTTTTTCTTTGTTTTGGAAAGGCGCTGGTGCATTTACTATGGTACAATCACTTGAGAGTTGAGAAATTGGAGAGAGCGAGCAAGCTTTCCCAACTTTGTCTGTTTTCTATGGCACTGCCCTGTTTCAGTTTCAGTAGGCATATCTAAAAGCGGGTACAAACTGCTCTAAAGCAGGTAAAAAACAGAAGAAGCTTAGGACGGTGCGGACTCCGTGTTTCGCGCTTTTCGTAAGGTGACTGGGTAAATGCTTTTGCGAGGTATGCGGAGTATGCAAGCGATTTTGTTATGCCTGTCGTTTGCGTCTCTCCAGTAAAACGAATAAGATGATCTACAAAGGCGCAACCACAAGCCAAGATTTACAATAGCAGTGCGTTTGCTTCGGTGGTCCGTGTAGTTGTATTTTACTCTGCTCTCTGCAACACCGTGCCATGACGAACAGCTGGAACGGTCACGGTTTGTGCTGGCCTCCCCGTTGACAGAAACCCGCATCGCCCGCGTCGGCACCGAGTGCGCTTGGGCTGTTGATGCTCACAAGCCACGAATGCTTTCATCCGTGGCTTGTCGCCAGCTGATCCTGCTGCTAAACGGTGAGGAAGCGGCGAGAGTGACCTCTGAAGTGAATGTAGATCCTCGTTCATTCAGGTATCCGGTGTCAAAGTGTGGAAGATGTCCAACGTGTACTGAGGGCGGGAACTACGAGCGTTTTGCCTTGCTTTTATAACCGGAACCAGAGCAACGAGATAACTGCCTTGCGTACTTAAAAATGACGAAAGCAAAACGTTTCAACAGGTCGAATACGTCACCGGGGATGTAGGCGAGACGGTGTACACTGTTTAAACGCTTGCAGTATCCACGAGTGGTACCAGGAAAGCGACGTCCGCAGAGAAGGAGCTCGCCATTCAGCATAATGCAGAGCTACGGGCCCGTGTATAGTCAAAGTTCGGATGATAACAGCGTGGCAGTGTAAAAAAAAAAAAAAAAAAGACGCATTAGCGCATTACACCAGTGATCACGAATAACACCGGCCACGAACTCCCGAGCCCCACCGCTCCACTCAACACCGACACGACAGACGACAACAAACTGCATCAACACGACCCAAAAGTGAAGGCGTCTGCTCCTGTACTGCAACTAGCGGAAGTGAAGTGTTGAGCACATGTCCTTCACAAGAATATATAAAAAAAAATGCTTTGCGCAAGCATCATTTCCGTTTATTATTAATTATATAATGATAAAATCTTGATAATTAAAAAAAAAATCTGATTCAAGCTAGTCGGACTGCTCATAACACTGGTCTAGCATAAAAATAACAAAAATTTGAATTTCTTCATGACCGGTTTAGGATTTATTGTCAATACATCGTTATCTTTCGCAACGGACTAACATTACAGATTTTGCCTCCATACTTTTTAAATGCAAAGAGTTCTTACATACGGCTGTCCATTGCGCCGTGTTTTGTGTCTTCTTCTATAAATCTGTAACGGTCAGCGACTAAATAGCTCACCCGCACATGCCAAGCTTATATACGCCGCGGAGAGAAAAGCATGTTAAGTAGGAAGTGTCAGGCGCAGTGTCGGGTGTTGTGTTTGTGTATATGTCGGTGATGTGTAATGCGTGGTATTGGTGTTGTGCGTGATGTATGTAGGGGTTGTGTCTACTTGTGATCGGTCGTAGGCTCGTAGCATATAACAAACTTTTTTTATAGACTGCTAGAAATCCCGCTAGGTGGCGGAAGTTACCGCCCGATTTCAAATAGTTTGCTCGAGTTATTTGTCCATTTAAGTTCGCTTTTCTGTCTAGCGGCTCGATCGTAGCTACCGTAGCTACCGACGCCGCCGACCGCCGACGACGCACGTACGTATTTTTGCGCGTAGCTACGTCCGCCGCTTGGAGACTGTTTAGTGTGTATAAAAGACATCGAAGGAGAACAAACGCCGTCCTGTGTGCTTTGAATTCAGCCGAAAGGCGCGCGGCTTGCTGGGCTCGTCCCTCGCCTGTTCTCGGCTGCTGGCCGCCATGTTTTATGAGCACGCTCAGCCAACACGCTGAACCGTGCTTAGCGGAAGAAAAACACGGTGTATCGTGTTAAGTTTACACAGCACCTCATGTGTAGACGAAAAGCACAGAGGGCTGCGTGTAAAACGAACACGTTTCGACGTGTCCGCTATGGGACAACGGTTTACACGTCTGGGCGTGTTATTTTTGCTAACAGTGTACCCAGAGAAAAACTGCAATTTATCGACGCTTCCGTTTGAGCAACTCAAGGTATTATTTCCATTGATCACAGCAAGTGATTACTAGTGTTGTTTGTTCGGATTCACTATTTGTACTCTTAAAGTATTGAGTGTTTCAATTATAATTTTTGTTTTGTTTTAATACACTTAATGTTAGGCTTGATGGGCAGTATTGTACTGGTGCATTTCTGTTTTCTTTTTCAATATGTGAGCTTGTATTGTATATCTTATGTTAACTTCTACCCTATACATGTCACAACCCCTTTGAAGGATGAATGGTGATCACTCTAAAAATTAAACAAATAAATTGTCCGCGTTCCGCACTTGCTGGTACAATCTAAAATAACAGAGATCTTATGTTGCGGTGCCCCTCATGCGGGCGACTCACAGTTAATGTCCAGGCTGACCCTGCTGGAGAGCGGAAGGGTGGCGTTGTTGTTGGACGCTGTGCAGACGAGCTGGGCCATCAGGTCGGGCCTTCGGAGCGGACCGAGTCGGAGCTCGTTACGCACGAACCCTTGCGGCGTCACGGTGAAGGTGTCGTCGATCACGTTCCCGTCCTTGGACCACGTCACTTGGGGAGGTGGATCACCTGAAAGATTCCTTGTATATCACAAACTGGAGCAGATCTTTCTCTCCTGCTATTTTTGGCATTAAAAGAGAGCCTCGCGAGGAGGATCGATATTAGTGCGATTTTGGGAACAAGTGTGGGCAAGATTAATTTGACTTCCAGTTAGATGAATTAGTTTGACCAGGGCTGGCCAGGGGCATTCTTCAAGACTGTGCACGAGCGGAGGCGCATTTTTACCACAAAAGCCGCTTCTGTCGATTATCTCAAAATTAATATTCCGAAGTACGCGTAAAGATGGTAAGTTAAGACTAATCCGAGAGCTCAGGCGAGTTGGTTTGAGACAGACATAGCAACCAAGCACGTAATAATAAAAAAAACAGGACGGAAGACGACACAAAACTCCAAAGCTAAGGTACTGTGTCGTCCACCCCAAGTTGTTTTTTTCCTGGGTTTTTATGTTAATGGTAAGTTATCCTGCGTACATTTATTCCCTTTTGATCAAACAAAGACTCACTTTTGTCTGCGGGCGTTCATGTGATGAATTGCGTAGTGCAGCTGTTATGACCAGATTAATAATAATATAAAACTCTAGCCTTTGCGTCATTTACGACTTAATAAAAAGAAATGCACTTAACTCCAATGTGAATGGCGGTTTTCCGCAGGCACTTGAACGTTCGTAGCACAGGAACACAGTGCTTCGGAGATACACTATCGTAACACCACTCCCTTTGTTTTTCAGACACAATTTACGCAGATATAGGGCTCGAGATCAATATTACTATATTGACAAGACCACGGTTAAAACATCTACACCGGCTAATATTTTTGACGATTTCAAAGTGTTTGACGAAGTCAACGTGCCGTTCTGGCAGAGAAAAACTTGATACAATTTCATGGCATTGAAACCTCTGTTCCGACTGCCTTTTCGATCAGGGGCGTAGCCAGGAGGGGGAGGGGGGGGGGGGGTCTTATGGGGCTTCAGCCCCTTCCCGAAATCCAGCTGGCCCTATAATATACACATGCATTCTGACTCTCCCCCTCTTCCGCCTCTCCACGCACCAAGTCATGGACATCCCAGCCACCTCAGCCCCCCCCCCCCCCCCCCCCCTCTCCCGCGGAAAAAATTCTTGGCAACGCCACTGACTTCGATCTGTTAGTCCACGCAGAATTGGCGAGATGGAAATTACGTCCCACGAAAAGATAAACTGAACCCTTGAAACATTTGAATTCTTCGCAGTAAATTATATATCACAGATGCAGCAAGGAAGAACAAAAACGACTAATCATTACAAATCAGCTGTGGTGACCATCCCTTATGTAAAAGACGTCTCAGAGTCTATTCGCCGGTTCCTCGTCTCATTAGGTATATGAACAACTTTCAAACTTCGTATAAAATTACGTGACATAATTTCTAAGCCAAAGGATCCTGCACCTCCTGAGTCGCATAGTGGTAATGCATATAAAGTGAACTGTCAGGACTGTGACAAGTATTACATCGGAGAAACCGGCCTAAAAAGGGGCACCCGCCTCAAAGAGCACAGAAGAGACGTGGAGAGTGCAGCACATGCCACAAGATGAAAAAATGAGCTGGTGGACCATTGTTGGACGACTGGTCACACTTTTGACCTCGCGAACGCTGTGACCCTGGCACGTGGACAGCGGTAGGGCCTCAGGAGATATCTGGAATCATGGTGTATTCGTAGCTACCCATCCGCCTGTATTTCTAACCGCGGCCATCTCCCCGACGCGTAAACCGACATCCTGAAATAACTTTTCATTTAACATCACATCTACTACGGACGAAAACAAAGTTGAAACGGGGGCCATAATGATGACGTCTCCCGTATGCCAAAGACGAAGAAGTCGTTGGAATCAGCGCTACGGATGAAGAGATGGACAATGCAAGCGTTTGGTTGCTAGTAGCTATTCGGGTTGTTCTTAGGCTGCACTGGTGATGTCTCCCGCATAGGAGACGAAACACCTACTTATAAAATGTTGATAGTGTTGTGTAAGTCGGAGGAATCTGCTTTTTAATCCTGAATCCGGGCTTTTAGAACATTTTTACGAATTATATATCTAAAACCTGAGTACAACCTTATATATTTTATAATAAATGTGTTTCACAATCACGAAAAATCTGGAAGATGGAAACTGGGGTATATTGCTTAGAAGCTGGGGTATGCTTACATTATTGTTTAGGGAAGTACTGTGTACCCCAACAACAAATTAGTTTTCTTTTTTTTTTTTTACCGCAGAAATAATTTACGGGTTGTCGACCGCTGATTTTCAGCCAAAATGCAGCACTAGCGGCCGAACCCAGACGCAAAGTTTCAAGACTAACTGTTATCACTTTAAAGTTATAATTGATGTACAAAAATTTCCATGGGTAAATGGGGCCCTATTTCGCCCGTTTTCGGTAATTGACTCCGTTCAACTCCATGTATTGGAGAGGTCCGTCGGCCGCCACTCTCCCATTGAAAATATATAAAAAAATATATATCACATAACTTTTAAATAAGATACCGCTTAATTCTTAAACTGCGGTGTCTGGTTCAGACCGATAGCGCTACGTTGGGGCGAAGAGTGAGCATTTTAAGATGTGTTTAGTTTATTTTTGCGGACAAAGAAACCTTGTCATGTTTGAGAGGGGGAGAGGGAGGGGGGGAGACTCTTTGTATATTGCCTCTATGTTATGAAATATTGTCGGGAATGTCTCGCTATAGTCCAAGAAAGTTTGAGAAACACAGGGCGTGACGAATCTTGAGCAACGTATTAACGTTCCGCAGCCGATGAGGTTACGGCCAAATTTTGCCAAATTGGCCCAACCGCGAAGCAAAGGAACGTGATCGTTTCAAGCCACGGCCCCATGTTTCTTGAGCTTCCAGGGATAGCAAATGACAAAGTTAGCGAAACCGTGACCTTTACGAAACTGTCGTGCATTATTGGCATCTCATATAACGCATTGTCAGTTTGTTTGGAGTACGACCACACAATGACGTGTTAATAGAATATCGCCGCATGTAATAAGTTCCGCGCTTTTCAACGTATATCTCTTGTGGGAATACCTTTCGTTTTTCACAAACTACCAATATTTTTTAACGTCAGGGTTAACTACAAAAGTAAGCACCAACTTGATCCGTTGTTTCAAGGAATGAAGAAAAAAAAAACCGAAATTGCTCGAATTACAGTTTGTAATTCATACCATCTGATGAACCTTCGATGCTAAATAATTATTGTATAAATAACATTGGCGTTTATGCTATGCAGACGAATAATCTCTGCAGTAAATATTGTGTAGTGTGTGTTTTATATTTTTGTAAACCTTCGAGCTCTAATCATCTGCGTGTATTGCAGTATACCTTTCATTTTTGTGTCCTTATTTTGAGCCCCAGTGGTTGTTTGCCAAATGCACAGGAAATGAACTCAGTCATGCAAACATTCGTCGACCTCTTGTCTGAGGCTCCGAAATCTCTATTTATATTCACAATATGCAGATAGTCGATAAGTTATTGTGATTTGATTATGATCCTGCTCTTATTTAACTTTTCTTTTATTTTCATTTGGAAAATTTCAATTTTGTTCCTATTAATATTTATTACAGTTTTATGTCAGCTGATTTCAAATTTATTTTCGTTTCATTTTGGGGTGATATGGATTTTAATATAATATTTGTTTACTTTTATTTGATTTTAGTTTGATTCTGACGGGGACCAACTGAATTTATTTCTGTTTTGAGGGACTTTCTGATTGGTTTTGATTTGATGCTTACCCATGCAGAATAGCGAAGTTGGGGCGCATTTTTTCGCTTGATTGAATTAGCTGTCGATAACAAATCTACGGGGAAGATAACGGGCGTTGCACTTTATTTCACTTGCGGAGCTGCCTTGATTGTGCCCTTACCTTCTATAGCGTCAGCTGCACTTTACAATGAAACTAAGTAAAACACTCGTGGCCTTTCACCACTGGCCTAACACTGGCTGCCGCATAATACAGAGTCCTTGGGATTTTTATCAAGATACTAAAGTGAGGACAGGGCCCAACTAAATTGGAACACTTGCTCCGAGACGTCTTAAGGTCTCAACAAAAGAAAAATTTTGCTCCTTTTACGAAAAGAGCAATGTGAGGCTTGCGCTGTTAGCTACTGTAGTAGCTCCTGCCTCTACATAATGGCCCCCCCTTTGTCTCACATGTCTTCATAGTTTCCTGTTTTGCAACGTAAGGTGACGCACCCTAGCACTCTTCAGTTGAAAAAAAAATGAAAAACTCGCATTTATAACACAACTGAGTCCACTTTTCGGGACGTTCCTTCCCAGCTTGTCTTGGGGCTGGGCAAATAGAAACCAAAATGATAACTAGGGTAAGTTTCTTGGCGACATGAAAATGAATACACAGAAAAAATAAGTACCGCTGGGTTCTGCCTTTATGTTATGCATTTTCGTGATTACATTATTTATTTTGAATTTGCTTTCTTTGTTATGAAGGACTTTTTACTATAGTCGATTACAAGTCAAGAAGGTAGGAGAAGCTCCTCCCACAAGCGTGATGCGCCCGTTTCAAGTCCCTCCGCAGTCAAAAGAAGAGTTCACTGGAAACGCTCCTTGTACCGCTTCAATGGATAGATATGGGATACAGAGTGATGCCAGCTTGTCTCCGATCCGACTTTTCGAGAAAGCGACCTTTGTATCCATCGGAGGGGGAACCTAATCCCCGAAAGTCGTATTTGTTACCATCGGCGGAAAGAAAAAAATTCTAATCTCCCTCTCGTGGCTTCCACAATGCTAAGTCAAAGTCGAAAGATGAAGCAAATATGTGCAGGAACGCAAGACCCTCCTCGCGCGTTGGCCGCGACGTCACGGAAACGATGGGACGCTATTGGATGCGGAGGTGGCGGAGGGATATATGATTCCCTTTGAGGTGCATTTGCCGCTACCTTCTTGACCTGTAACTTACTATAAGCCTAGATGCGGTTATAAGTTTTAACATAATCTAAGGTCAATTTCATTTTTTGCTGCAGCAAACAC